AACTGGCCATAATTTGACTAGTGCTCATGTTTACATGCTGCGCACGGACTATGCGTGTGTTCTACACGACATGTTTCGTACAGTGCTCTGCACGGCCCAGGCTAGAGTACCAGTAGGTGGGCGAGAGGGCGTGTGTGTGGGACATACGTTTGTAATATGTAGTTTTGGTTGAAAGGGAGAAGGCGCATGCATGTGCACGGTGTGTGCATGCCAGCATCAGCGTCGATATGCACTGCACTCCCTCTCACCACCCACCTGCTTTGCCTGCTCACCCATGCCCGCCCCCGCTTGTTGTCGCAGTCGCCCTGTGGGGTGCGCGCACGAGGAACGCACACACGAATAAGCAACTCGATATTCGCTCACGACAAGGATATGTGGAAGCGCGTGGGAGCATTTTCGGCGATGTGCACTGAGTCCACAACAAGCAAGCTTGAAGCCGCCTTCATGCTCACGTCCTGAAACCAGTGACTTCTGCTACAATCCAAAAACCCCCCACTGCCTGCTCCACCCAGGCCTGCCCTGCCCCACGCATACCTACTGAACCAGCCATGGCAACCGCTGGCCCTCCACCTGCCCCTGCCCCGGGGCCTCCTCCTCCACCTCCGCCAGCACCACCAGGAGGGGGAGGGCCCACTGCCTGGGCGCCACGTGGAGCAGCCTCATTGGCTGGAGGTGGTGTGCGGTGCAGAACGCTGCGTGCCTCCAGGAAGCTCTCAGCAATGAGCGCCACGTGGTGAGGATGCTGCCGTGCCGCATCCGCCACTGGTTCTGCTGCCCTGGGGCTCCTTTTGGCCTGGGGGAGGGGGGAGGGAGGAGGGGAGGTGTGGGGGAGGGGGTAATGGTATGATTTGGGTTGAATGGTTGCAGTGAGGGCTGTTGGCAGTTGTCACAGTCACCGTGCTGCATCAGCAATCGGTTCCGCTGCCATGGGTTGTTGTTTGCCTGGAGGGGGAGGAGGGGGAAGGGGGTGTTGACGGGATTTGGCTCCTTCTTCGCTTGGGCGAAGTCGACTTCGCAGCCGGGTGCGCATGAGGTGCAGCCGGCTGCCAGGTGTGGTCGATGCCGACTTGGGCGGGTAAGTCGACGGAGTTGGTCGACTTACACGGGACCACTGCGAAGTCGCCAACGAGGAAGGTTGGCGGCCGACTTCGACTGGTGAGGTCGACGAAGGGGTTTTGTCGACCTGCGAGGACGCCGACTTGGTAAAGTCGGTGGGCGGCTTCGACCTGGTTGGCCGACGAGGGTGTACATCAGCTTGCGGGTGCCGACCGCCGGTCAGGTCAACGCAGACTTCAGGGTTTCCCAAACGGCTGAGTAACTTGGGCGACGAGGTTCTACGAAGTGCGCGACGTCACCCAGGAGGTTTTGGCGAAGCCGACCTCAGGCTGGTATCCAGAGGTCGAGCTGGCACATCAAACGCAACCTTCGGCACGTGGCCGACTTGGCACCTGCGCAATGTGCGTGACGGTGCACGTCGTACTCCACCGTCTACAAAAACCTGCGAAGTAGGTGCTCGCAAGTGCGATATTGTCACCTACGGTTGCAACGCTGGCAAACCGCCTTGCTGCAGTGTTGGCAAGCTGCCTTGCTGCTGTGTTGGCAAGTCGTCCTGGTGCAACGCTGGCAGGTCGCCGACTTGCAATGTTGGCAAGCCAGCTTTGGGCTGCGTTGGCACGCGGACGATTTGCTACGCTGGCAAGCCGCCAATTTGTTGCGTTGGAGGCCGACTTACGCTTGTTAGGTCAACTTTGCCATTTCCTTTTCTATATTTGTATCCAACTTTTGCTAGTGAAACACTTGTCAGTTTTGCCCGGTGAATGAGCAAGTAGAGAGAACACGAACAAACGCAATGAACGCTCGTACCAAACGTGACTCTCGTAGTTCAACTACCACCGTTGTATAGTGACTCTCCGCAGGGGGAGGGTTGGGGACAAGAAAGTGCATGCAGCACGTGCATACACGTCGATGGGCATCAGAGTCACATAGGTACGGGCAAAATACCCGGACGGGTCAGGTTACCCGACCAGACCCGACTAATATATTGGGATTGACTACCCGGGCGGGTCGAGTAGTGTATACTCGGGCGGATACGAAATACCCGGTACCCGACCCGGGTGTCCAAATTCGGGTATTGAATACCCGTCCAAGGTGCAAAAAAACGACCGTAAGATTGAAATTCTGGCGTATAAAACGCCATCGTATTTTTCGGCCGTTTAAAACGTTTTAAAACGCCAAAAGTGGTTATTTTAATGTGGTGCAAAAAAACGGCCGTTTTTTACAGCAGAAACCTTGAAACCAATTGGTTTACACATATTTTTAAGTATTGGTTCCAACCATGACCCTCGATCGGATGAACCAGCCATGAGGAAGACGAAGGGGATTTATCAGTGGGACTGTAGTAGAACGGTGACTCCGGGGAGGAGAGTATGAAGAGTCTGCGGGGGAGGAGGAGGAGGGTCGAACTAACTCAACCAAGACACTGTGTTAGCATTGTATTGCTTCTTTGCTATCCTGGTTAGGAGTGGAGTCGTGTCTACTGGTTTCAAAAAAAAAATGTCACAAAATCTCTAACAACAAAGCGGCCGAATTTTTTAAATCTGACCGTAAAATACGAGCGTAAAAAACGGACCGTATTTTACACTTGCCGAAATTTTGCACCTTGTACCCGTCGATGTAGTTCAGAACAAACATTTTCTTGCTTCCAATTATGAAAAGGGTATTCGGGAATACCCGACCCAACCTCGGGTATACCCGACCCGACAGCGGGTCAGAGATACCCGAGAGGTACTGGGCGGGTCGGGTAAACATCTTTGGCCCAAATACAAGGGGTCGGAAATACCCGACCCGACCCGAAAAAGCCCTCATGTAGCCCCAAACGGGTCAGGTCAGGTCGGGTCGGGCCAATGCCCATGCCTAGAGTCACAAAGTCGTTCTTGTTGAAGTGTGGTGCAAAAACATGGTGGAACGTCTTTAGGAACTTCAGTCTTTGCGTGGTGTGGTGCAGAAAACGCCATCCCATGCTTGATCCCTGCCATAAGACGACCACGTTTGGGAAAAACGCTTAGGCCTTCTTTTGTATCGCGTTTATGCGTTCATGTATTAACTGAAATACATGATACGGGGACAAATAAGCAGTACGCCTGGACAGGTAGCCCGGCGAGAAAAAAAACAAAAACAAAAACAAACACACACACACAAACACACACACACACACACACACACACACACACACACACACACACACACACACACACACACACACACACACACACACACTGTCCCAAACCCAACCTTTCCCTTCCAATCACACTTCGGGTTTTCACGTCGGCGTGTGTGCGTACAACAGCAAGGGGTGTTCCAGGCCATTTTTACTCTACATCTCCTCTTAACTCGTAGTTTAGCTTCAAAAAGAAAATCTATGACCGCTAATGTCGCAGCTGGACACAAGTAGCCAGAGGGGCGCAGATCTGGCATTCCGCCGCCAGATCCGCGCGAATCTAGTATTTCGCCGGCAGTTCCGCGCACATTGGCAAAAAACATTGAATATAGGGACCATCACTCACTCCCTGATACTTTTTTTTCCTTGTTCGGAATTTTTTTACCCTGCCCGGGCCACCGTATTTTGAGCGTATCCGAAGGCATGAAATCCACCGTACAACGTACGTACGTGGGCGTATAATACGAACGCGACTGCTACAGTGGTAGGCCAGTCGTGTGTATTCCAACATAGCATGAGACGACCATGTCACGAGACGACCATGTCATGAGACGACCATGTCATGAGACGACCATGTCATGAGACGACCATGTCATGAGACGACCATGTTTGATCCCTATCATGAGATGGCCATCATTGCCAAGGATGAAAAATACGGTTTCCGTAAAATACGGTCCGTATTTTACGATCGTATTTTACGGTCAGATTTCAAAAATTCGACCGTATTTTTGTTAGAGATTTTCTTTTCTGCTAGGAAAAGAAAAACCAGACTTGCCACCAACCACCTTTAGGGATGCGAGCATTAGTGATATTGCCAACTATCAGGCCTAAGATGGTCTACAACAGATCTATGCCTTAAAAAACAGCTCCCGTATGAGTCCCCACGGAAACTCAAGACTAGGCGTCCCCACTTGTGCGGCGAGTAAAAACGTTCTGGCGAGGGAAAAAATACTCGCGAATATTTTAATTTGTCGCATTCTTGACCCCTGCGCGACATGGCAGCGGGGTTCATAATCGTAGAGGCTAATTCGTCGCTTGAGGCTGCTTCGTCGCTTCACGTTTCTGCGTGACGAAATGTCAGCCAACTCAAACGCGGAAATTTTGCATCCCATTTTTTCCAGCTCACGCACTCCCCCCAACCGCTCTAAATCCCACTCCCTCTACCTAACCCAACCCAACCTTTCAAACATTTGCACTCTAACACTGGGTGAGATCTAGATCTCACTCGAACCTATTCTGCTGTGACACATTTTCCCATCGCAATAGCGCCTGGAACATCGCGATTTCCTACTAACACGGTCCTATTTAATCCCCCCTTTCCCCACTTAAGGGGAGAGGCTTCGCACAAGGGGGTCTCCTTGCAATTTCTTTTTACAGTTTCATTGTCTCAAAAAATCGACCGTAAATTACGACCGTATTTTTGAACCAACCCTAAAACAGCACAATTTACCGTATTTTACCGTAAAATACGACCATAAAATACGATTCCGTATTTAACGGTAAATTTTCAAAAATACGACCGTATTTTTGTTCCCTGATCATTGCTGAAGAAAGTGCGCAGGTGGGGTGGTAGGTGTAGCATAGGGCTCGTATAGGTGGGACGACTTCATCGTGTCGAAACCCAGGCATAGCTGATAGGTCACATTCACTGCCTCTGCTTCTGATCCGCAGGTGAACATGGGGGTTAACGGAGAGCTGTGCTCATTGCAGGGGAAATTATAAGCTGAAAAGAAATGAAGTCGGTAGAGTGACGGGGACCTTGGTGCACTGGGTGCTGCTATTGAAAGCGCGGTGCCATGCCACACCACTGGGCACATGTGGACGAAGCGAAGAGTTGAAGTGATGTCGTCATGATGAGCGATGGTGTCACCGCACATGGAGGGAGGGGTTCACAAGGAAGTGAGGGGGGGGGCTTACCGCGACATACAGCTGCCTCAGTTGAGGAACGTTGCGAGGAGCGATGAGTGAGAGCGTGACGTAGAGCTGACATGTCATGCCATATTCTCAACGCATGATCCCATGCCATGTCATACCATGCCGTGCAGTGCAATGCCATGCCATGTCACACAAACCCAAGGCATGGCAAGCAAGAGGCCACCGAGTCATACAAGGCGTACGAAAGGGGGGCAATCATCATGCCACACAGAATGTCACGATTTTGGGCGCCGGCCCAGGAAAGCTGGGCAGGAAAAACACAAAAAAACAACAATAGGTGTGGTCATTGCCTTTAGGCAGAGGCCGGGCAACGAGGAACACAAGATGGCAACGGTGTGCTAGAGGAGGATAAGAAGAGAGAGAGGATGAAAAGGAAGACGAAGAGCAAGAGCAAGGAAAGGCCACAGGAAGGCAGGGAAGCATGCGGCACGCCGCACGCAGGATCTGCATGATTTAATCATGCACTGGCAGCAGCGGTGGAGGAGGGGGGGTTGAATTCAGAAAGCGCAGAGGGAGGGCAGGAGAAGAGAGGCGGCGGTGGAGGCCAGGAAAGAGGCACATTAAAGCGAGGAATGAGGCAGATTGGAGCGAGGAGACAGTGAGCAGACCTGGGGATGGGCGAAGAGCGAGGCCACCATGTGGGCCGACGCCAGCCACCACTGTGCTGCCTGCCATGCGCCCCCGCCGCCCCCACCTGCACCAGCCCCTGCTGCAGCCGCACTGCCATGAGCAGCAGCGGAGGGGGCGGCAGGCAGGGGTGGTTTGACGACGGGGGTGGAGAGGCGCGGGGGTGGCGAGGCAGCCACCAGCACCACGTGCTTGTGGCGCTCCACGCCCGCTGGTGCCGTGGCTGTGGGGGACGGCGTGGGGCACAGCATCTGACGTGGGGAGGGGGCAGGGAGAAGGGGAAACGGGGGGAAGAAGGGAAGCGCAACCATAGCACCGCCTCAATGCCCTGCTAGCCGCCTCAATGCCCTGCTAGCCGCCTCCATACCCTGCTAGCCGCCTCCATGCCCTGCTAGCCGCCTCCATGCCCTGCTAGCCGCCTCCATGCCCTGCTAGCCGCCTCCATGCCCTGCTAGCCGCCTTGCCACTGACTCCCTTGCTCCGTTCTCCCCACCCTGACCTCTTCAAGTAGCAGACATGCTGTTCCTACACTCATATCCTTACACTCGTACACACTGCTACATCCACTGCTCCACTCACCACCACCCGTACATATCCCTCACGTCAACTCATCAGCAGCGCCCCAACTCACCAGCAGCGCCCCAACTCACCAGCAACGCCTCTGAAAGGGCCTCAGCGACAGCGGCATGGGCAGCACCACCTCCCGAGAAGGAGAGCGCGTCCAGCCACGAGAGGAAGACGGCAGGCGATGCCGTGAAGGGCGTCTGCTGCAGCAGCGACGCTGATGGCGTGGAGGACGACGTGGGGGAGTGGATGAGAGGGCACGCGGTGCATGAGTCAAGGTTCAAAATTACGGTTTTCGTAAAATACGGTCCGTTTTTTACGGTCGTTTTTTACGGTGATTTTCCAAAAAAACGGCCGTTTTTTTGTTAGAGAACTCTGTTTATTAAGAAAAAAAAATAGAAAAACAAGGTCAAAAACCTTTTTAATCATGCCAACAAGCACATACATGCAAGAAGGGGTCCGTCCCCTTCATGCTGCTGCATTTCGGGTTCAATTTGGTTCCACTGAGTGGCCGTTTTGTTAGTTAAACAGGAAACACTACCTGGAACCGTTTTAAACCGTTTTTTACGACCGTTTTTTACGATACCGTTTTTTACGGTAAAATTTCAATAAAACGGTCGTTTTTTTTAACCCTGGCATGAGTGGCATGGGATACACCGGGGAGACTGAGGGGGGTGGGATTTGAAGGCACTAGGGGTTGGTTCGTGCAGCAGGGAGGTGGGGGTGTGGTGGAGCGAGGTGGCGAGGGGAGGGGAGGAGAGGGGCACAAGGGGAAGAAGAGGAGAGGAATGCACAATGGAGGGAAAGGAAAATGTAGGATTGAGTTGATGCACCTGAGAAGGGCGCACATGAGTCAGTGCCTGCATTGACCACACTGCATTGATGACAGGTCATGGCGCACCTGAGAAGGGGCCGTGCGAGTGATAGACGACGAGAGCCAGTTCCACCGCTGCTGTGCCCGCCTTCTGCCACGCGGTCAACGCCAGTCAACGCAGGCCAACGCCAGTCAACGCAGGTCAACGCCAGTCAACCATGCGGTCAAAGAGCCAACGCCAGTCAATGCCAGTCAAGCGGGTACAGCAGTCAACGGCGTTCAGCAGCAACAAAGTCCATGGAATGGCACGAGGGCGAGCAGAAGTAGGCATGAGTGAAGGGCAGTTGAGAGAGGCGAGAGAAGGAAGGTGGAAGGGGTCGAATGAGTTGTAAGGAAGTGAGGAAGGGTTGGGGAGGGTGGAGGGAGCACGAGGAGGAGAGAGAGGATGTAGCGAAGAGTTGAGGTGCTGATATGGCCCGCCCTGCCCCGCCCTGTCCTTATCCACCCTGCCCGTACCCACCCGCCCGTACCCACCCTGCCCGTACCCACCCTGCCCGTACCCACCCTGCCCCGTCCTGCCCCGTCCTGCCCCGTCCTGCCCCGTCCTGCCCCGTCCTGCCCCGTCCTGCCCCGCTCTGACCCGCTCTGACCCGGCCTGACCTGTGTGAGCGAGTCGACGCCACAGAAGGCCCTGGCGACCATGGCATGCGCGCACGGATGCGCGCGGAGGGCAGGAGGGGAGGGGGGGACGGGGGGGGGGGGGGGAAGGGGGGTGTAGGGCAAGGGGACGGAGGGAAGTGGGGCGGAGGGAAGGACGGGCGGAGGGAAGGGGGGCGGAGGGAAGGGGGGCGGAGGGAAGGGGGGCGGTGGGCGAGACAAGGAGCGAAACGGGGAGAGGATAGGACAGGGATGGCATGAGGAGAGCAGGAATCGGAGGGGACGAGAGAGCAGGACGAGGTGAGTGAGTGGACGCGGAATGCGTGGCGCGCACGCGCGTGCAGGAACGCGCAATAGCAGGCGACGCTGATGGGCGCGCACTTGAGCAACGTGAGGTGCACGTGACGTTCAGAGGCTAGTGAGTGGGGGCACGCGCTAGCAGCGGTGAGGGGAAGCACGCAGTAGCAGCGGTGAGGGGGGCGACGCACTTGAGCATGGGGTGCAGGTAGAGGCGTCGCAGCAGCGCCCACGACGGCCCCAGGCTCGCCGTGCCCTCCACCACCACCACCACCTGCTTCAAAGGCCCGCGCCTCGAATGCCCCGCCGCCTGCTGCTGCTGCTGCTGCGGCTGCGGCTGCGGCTGCGGCTGCAGCGCATGCGGTTGCGCCATGTACAGTCGCGGCATCGGCGCCTGCGCGGCTGCGGGCTGCATGCCGCCCGCGCCTGGCGGGAGACTCCCTAGCGGCGCAGCCGCCATTCGCGCCGCTCACCCGCGGCTCGGGCGTCGCTCGCGCCTGCACGCAACTCTCCGCACTGCCTTACTCCGAGTTGTTTCCGCCGTTCCCGCCGGTCGCTGCAAGACAGGCCCGCTGCGCAGCTGTAAGGCGGGTCTTACTGGGAGCGCATTGGTGGGATCGCGCTGCTGACTACTCGTCGCACAGATTTTGGCTCATCGCGGAGCTTTCCGTTGCGGGGACAATTCTAGCAGGGAGAACCAGTGAGTGAAGATTTGCTTTTGAATTTTGATAAGTGCGCTGTAGAGAACGAGTGGGGATTGTACTAACGGGGTACGAAAGGGCGTGTCCCACTTGGTTTGTTCGCAGCTCATTTGTGAAAGTGCAGGTTGGAAAGTTGGTTGAATACGGTGAGACGAACAAATTGCCCTATATTGCTCATCCAGAGTGGTCCCCCTTTGGGATGGACGACGCCCAGCGACAGAATGGGTAGCAAACTGCTGCTCGACATGCAGGGGCAAGCGACGGGAGCGACGGGTGCTTCATCCGTTGAGAAAACCTCGAGAATGCATCTCAACGTGTTTAGGGTTTTACAACATTTGGCGAGTAACCATTGGAAGAGACGAATGCGCGAATATCAACGAGCAACGTCGTGGCGACGCGTGTACATTCCGCGCCAAACAAGGTTACGCGGCACCACTGCATGCGAAGGGTTCAACTCGCTCTGCCTGCGCGAGATGTGTTCGGAAACGCTAGTGGCCGGCCAACGGTTGCGAAGGTGTTGCAATGACCACGGTGGCCATGTTTTATTGGACGACCGTGTCGCGCGCACGTACCATCGTTGATGGCTCGGCACCCCCACACCGAGCCATCAAAAACAGGGGGGAGAAGCTGTGCATGCTTTGCCGACGCGTTGACGTGTCATAAATCCGGGCTGCGCATGCACGATGTCGTGGCTCGGCCGAGCCATCACTGGCAGTAGGACAGCCAAGAGCGCCACGCGTCGGAGTTCCCAACCATATGGTCCGAGGGGAGGTGGTCATTCTTTCATTTCTTCCACTTCGATTGTGAAACCCTAGGACGCCACATCAAACCCTCTTCCCCCATCCCCCAAGCCCCCTCACCTCTTCCATAGACGCCAGACGATAGGCTCGCTCAGCTCATGCGGATGGTGTGATAGCTTACCGACCACCATGTCGACACCCTCTGCAGAGACACCACACGCTCACCCCATACACCACCCGCGGAGGGAACCGTAGATGATGCACAAGGACCGGCAACTCCGAGTCCACCTGCAGAAGCAGCAGATGTTGCACCGAGCGCATCGCGCGCACGAGCGGCACAACCTCGGAGAATGCAAACATATGTCACACCAGTATCTGCAACTCCTGCAGCTCCGAGCCTGCCTGCAGAAGTAGCCAATGTTGCACCGCGCACATCACGCGCACGACCGGGACCACCTTAGAGAAGGGCTACACATGTCGCACCAGGACCCGCAACTCCTGCAACTCCGAGTCCCCCTGCCGAACAAACCGCAACTACGAGCTCCCCTGTAGAGGCAGACGATGATGCACCCGATCTCAACAACGTGGTTACACCGGATTTGGGCAAGAAAAATCCTACGGCACCAGGTATAGAGGTAGAGGACGTAGACAGTGACGATGAGAAATCTGACGATGAGGACGAGGGTTCTTGTGACGAAGTTGCGAGACCGGCAGAACCTCTCTCGGAGATCGAAGAACAGTACATAGAGGACGAAAGTTCGCTTCGGGAGATGGAGGAAGAACACATGAAGGCCATGTGCATCCCACGCAAGGCGTTTGACGAACCAGCGTTGGGCATCACCAACATGATGTCCAACACGTCCAAGAGGGTGAGAGTTGATGAGGCGGCCAAGATGTTCGCTAATTTTCAACAAGACACCACTTACGTGGCCTACCTGAATGCCGATAGGGAGTACAAAGAGTGGTGTTGCGCGTTCCTCAAGGAGGAGCTAATGGAAGGATTCCCAGCCGATGCTCATTTGCTTGACCAAGACGAGGTTGGCACATTGTCAAGATAGGTAGTAGAAAGTTTAGAGGCAGAAAGAGGGGTTGCACTAGCAAGCAGTTGAGTACATATAGGAACCCTAGATTGGGCTGTACTCGCTATAGAGTACCCCACTGCAGGCTAGACAAATACAACATTCTGACACACCCCCATAGTCAAAGTGGGGTATAATCAGCAGAGCAAGCAGTCATAGAGCAGATTCACAAGTGCATGCAAAGCTAGAGGCATTCACAAAGGGCAAGTGAGGAGGAGGAGGCGAGACTGTAGGTGGAGAGGAGATAAGAGGCGTCGGCTGAAGCTGCAGACACACGGGCAACAGGAGTCAAACTGGCTCAGTGGCTACCGGAACAAGCGCCCCGGACTACAGGAGTAACTGGCTCCGCGGCTAAGAAGAGCGGCAGACGAGCAACGGACCCACGGGCGACTGGCGCAGCTGGCTACGACTGGGCTACCGGAACAAGCGCCCCGGACTACAGGTGCTGCTGACGACAAGACGGCAGCCTCCGCTCAACCTCCCCCGACTGTCCCACCCCCCTCTCACACACCCCCTGCTGGAACCCTAGCTCCACTCCCACGTCACCCCCCTAGCACCACTCCTTCGGCTCCCACACACCCACCCCCCTGAGCGGCAGCTGCAGCAGCGGGAGACGGAGGAGGAGGAGGAGTAGGGGACGGGGCACACAACCGGCACCCCCACAACCGCCACCCCCACACTCCCCACCCCCAAACCCTAATTCAGGAGAACGGGCTGTAGGAGGGGTGGGGCGCCGGTAGAAGCACGGGGGACAGTGGAGAGGGCAGGAGCAGCGAGGAACGGGCCGCCCACGGGCCTGGTAGAGCCGCCCGAACCGCGCGCAGGCGGCCCGAGCCGCGCGCGGGCCTGGCGCTTCCCGTACGGGCCGCGCGCGTGCCTGGCGCAGCCCGTACGGGCCGCGCGCGGGCCTGGCGCAGCCCGTACGGGCCGCGCGCGGGCCTGGCGCAGCCCGTACGGGCCGCGCGCAGGCCTGGCGCAGCCCGTACGGGCCGCGTGCCGGGTGTACGGGCCGCGCGCAGGCCACGACGGGCGACGGGGGGCGACGCGCGGGTCCCCGTCGCCCGTCGCAGCGCCTCCCGGGGGCGACGTGCCGAGTGACGGGGCAGGAACCCGCCGCGCGCCTCGGGGCACACGGCGGGCAGAGAACCGCCGCGCGCCTCGGGGCGCACGGCGGGCAGAAAACCGCCGCGTGCCTCGGGGCGCACGGCGGGCTGAAAACCCTAGTTTCGACGCCGCGCGCCATGGAGCGCGCGGCGGACAGGAAGTAGCAGTAGCAGTAGCAGTAGCAGCGGAAGGCTTAGGTGGTGGGCCCACCCACAGGATCGACCCAGGAGGGTCGACCTGCTCTGATAGCATGTCAAGATAGGTAGTAGAAAGTTTAGAGGCAGAAAGAGGGGTTGCACTAGCAAGCAGTTGAGTACATATAGGAACCCTAGATTGGGCTGTACTCGCTATAGAGTACCCCACTGCAGGCTAGACAAATACAACATTCTGACACACATTTCTTGGAAGCGGGAAGTGAACAGACAAGCCCTATCGACTCGATGAAGTGCCACGCTTGGTGCCCGGCGTCAAGGTAGTCCCTGCACGGCTTCAAGGCGATCTGCACGCCCGGAGAGAAGCACCGCGAGATGATCGTGAAGGTCAGCAGCTGTACGACGCAAAATTTTGCTCGTAGGCTGGAAGAGCTCAGCCTCGTCGCCAAACACTGTGCGCCAGGCGTCGCTCAGACGGGCGAAGCAGCGGGATTGTGTGTGACCAAGCGTCCCACAAGGCTGACCAGTCCTAGCACCTGTGCGAATGACGTACGGGCAGCGAACTGTACGCGTAGACCTGCTACACTGAGCGTACCACTCATGGAGCTGCCGGAGCGTAAGTGTCTTGCGTGGACGCTGCTGCAGGTGCAGCTGGCCACTGGCAGACGCTCCCAACTGACCAGCTCCAGGGCGACAGCTACGACGGCTACCGCGACAACCCCAGCTAGTATACCACTCACTAAGCTGCTGGGGCATGAGAGGCTCACGTGAACGTCGCTGGAGCTGCATCTGGCCACCTGCCAGTAGCAGTAGCAGCAGCAGTAGCGCGGGCAGGGCAGGCGCGGCAGGCAGGCAGGCAGGCCGACAGGCAGGCAGGCAGGCAGGCAGGCCGGCAGGCAGGCGCGCAGGCAGGCAGGCAGGCAGGCAGACAGGCCGGCAGGCAGGCAGGCAGACAGGCAGGCAGGTAGGCAGGCAGGCAGGCAGGCGCTCACCAAAGGCTGGGAGAGCAGGCGCTCACCAGGCAAGTAGGGCCGGCGCTCGACGAGCGGCGACCGAGAAGGCGCACGACAGCGGCGACGTCGGGGCCGCAACACCGGCTGCAGAGCAGGGCCGAAGCAGCTGCAGGGCGGGGCCGCTTCAGCGGCAGTTGCAGGGTGGGGCCGCGTCAGCGGCAGGTCGGGGCCGTGGCAGCTGCAGGGCGGGGCCGCATCAGCGGCAGGTCGGGGCCGTGGCAGCTGCAGGGCGGGGCCGCATCAGCGGCAGGTCGGGGCCGTGGCAGCTGCAGGGCGGGGCCGCATCAGCGGCAGGTCGGGGCCGTGGCAGCTGCAGGGCGGGGCCGCATCAGCGGCAGGTCGGGGCCGTGGCAGCTGCAGGGCGGGGCCGCATCAGCGGCAGGTCGGGGCCTCGGCAGCAGCAGGGCGGGGCCGCATCAGCGGCAGGTCGGGGCCGTGGCAGCTGCAGGGCGGGGCCGCATCAGCGGCAGGTCGGGGCCGAGGCAGAGGGCCGCGCGCGGCTCGGCGCGGCATCCCAAAATGTGCGGGTTTCGATTCTTACGTAGGAGCAGCTGTAGAGTAACTTTTCCGTAAAATTTCCAAGA